GCCCTCCACCCAGCAATTCAGTCCCTCAGGGAGTTTGGATGTGTCTATGGAGCTTCCATGACCTTTCCTTGTACAAGTTGTGCTGGTTTCCCCTGTAACGAGGTTTTTTTTAAAAATAATCTTTTTACATCTACATTTTTTAGCTGCATACTCTTTGACTGCCTCTTCATATGACCATTTTGTACTCTTTTTATAGAGGTATTAGAAAGATAACCTGATAGTTGAGGAATTTCTTTTTTCAGCTTCGAAACTCCGTACTGGTAATGCCACATCTATAACTTCCTTTGAAGTTCTGGAACTGGCAGGGCTTCGTGCTGGGGACAAGCCCTCGGAGAACTTCAGTCCTTTAATCTCCTTTGGCTTGGTCTCCCCGGCGGGCTGCCAGGGCAGCTTAGCCACGTCGTTTCGCCGCCCTCATCCCCTCGCCCACCCACCCCACCGTCACTTTGAGTTTGAAGGACCGCTCTCACCCCCAACCCCTGCAGAGGGATGGGGAGGCGATGCCCGTGCCCGCGGCCCCAGGACTGCCGTTGGGTTGGAAGGTGACCTCCGATGCTGGGCTGGGGCTGCTGTTCGCTCTTCGCGTTCCTGGAGAATTCGTCGAGCCTTCAAAGGTACTCTGAAACTTAAGCTCCACTAAGCTCACGGTAAATCGGGCCCTGTGAGCGCGCTTTCCGAGCGCTCGATGAGAAGTGTAAAACCAGTATCCCAGGACTTCGCAGCGCTATCCCTTCACGTTTTGTGGGGGCTCCATTACTCGCGAGGTGTCTCGGGCTGGGCCTGTCGCTCTTCACTTTCTCCGCTAGAGGCGGCCGGGAACCGTGATCCTACCTCAGCGTGGAGGAAGGCGGAGACCTTCTGCTACGACGCCGGTTGGCAGCCAGAGTCTTGATCGACAAGAGCCCTAGCTAATGGTTCTGAAATAAACAGCCGTTGTTTACGCACGTACAGCCAATAGAAAGGCGGAAGTGCGGCCAGCGGCCAATGAGGACTGGCCTTAAATGGGACGTGAAGGCGGGGATTTGTTCGAGGGGCGGACACTAGGTAAAGAGTGAAGCGGACACTGGGAGAGTTAGAAGCACATCCGGTGTGGAAGGAGCCGTGTTGGCTCGTGAGAGACGGGTAAGAAGAAACGTGTGAAGCGGGGACTGGGAAGCTCGGGAGCGAAGGAAGGAAAGGAGGGTATTATTGTCAGAACAAGAGTAAGAGTAGCCTCTGTTTTGGTCGAACGTGGCCCTAGTCGGCGATGGGACTCCGGAGGGCGGGGAGGGGAGAGGCTAGGGAACTAGGGGCGCGCATGCGTGAGTGTATTGGAGCGGGGGCGGGGGGGAAGGGGGGGGGTGAGTCTTCGGGGTCCTTGCGGGGGCGTCGAGGCGCCCATTCCGCGCCGGAGAGCTAGCGCGGCCTCCTACTTTTCTTGCTTTTCTTCCTTCAGCTTCTCTTCTCTTCGTTCTCTCCTCCTCAAAGTGTAGACGTAGGGCCCCTTGACCCAGCCTCTACCATTTGAATTTAGGATACGTCCCCCTCCCCCTCCTTCCGAGTCGAATGAAAGCGAAACTTTATGAGCTTGCAGTCACCCTCGCGTCCACCCGACCGCTCGTTGCTCTGCAGCGGATCCTCTGGCGGGGCTGCCTCTGGGAGTGCGGCCGGGCCCAGGGTCTAGGACTCGGAGAGGTCGGGCAGGCTGCCCTATCACGGCGGGGCAGGTGATGTCACACTCGTCTGTGACACGAGAGACTGCTTAGTTACTTGGAAGTCAACAGCAGAGGAGTGAGGTGAGAAGAGACCGGAACTAGGACTGGCTTCCCAGGCCCACAGGGCAGCCTTCTCTGGTCTGATTAGTTACCTTTGGACAGAGGAGGTGGCCTTGCTTTGCTTGGTCCTCAGCCTTGTGGGCGTCTTGCTAAAAAGGCGACTCAGGAAAGGCGTGGTTGGGCGGTTGTTTTTTTCCTTCGGACCTACTTGCTGGAGCTGTGGCAATAAGTAGGCTTTGGTAATTTTCGATGTTTATTGTGGAATCGCTATCCCGTGCCAGGCCAGGTTACATGATCTACCCCATCAAGCTTTCATTGGCCAAACAAAAACAAAAACCCCTCTGAACTTGAGACTGCGTTCTAGCAATGGTTAACTTGTGAATACGTAACCCAGTAGAAGAGCTGACTGCCAGAAACACAGACAAGGATTGTAAGGTTAAAGGTTAATGGAGAATGGGCTTTTGTAGTTACTTATTAATATTTATTTGTAGTTTATCTTTCGATTGTTTGCGTAGTTTAAGAATTTGCTTTCAAGAAAGATTTTCTAAGTTGCATAACCACATTTCTTATAGCTTCTGGAAACACTTCTTTGTGTAATTAGTTATTAGATGTACTCTGTTTGGTGTTTTCCTTATTCCTCTTTGTCTAAATTTTTTTGTACTGGCCTCAAGACTATGTTGACATTTCGATTCTGTTGGCTGTTTTCCTCCAGTGGGGACATCATGGTTGAATCCTTGAAATGCAATCTGTAATTTGAATCCAGAGTTTCCTTCTATTCATCTTGTTGTGGAAACATGGCTTAGTACCCTTTTTCTTCCTTTTTTGCCCTTATTGATCCGCAGTCTTAACTCTCCTAAAGAATGTTGTTGTTAGGTGCAGGTCGAGTCGGTTCTGACGCATAGTGACCCTATTTATGTACAACAGAAGGAAACACTGCCTGGTCCTGCACCATCCTCACAGTCGTTGCTATGTTTGAGCCCGTTGTTGCAGCCACTGTGTCAGTAAACCTGTTGCTGTCGAGTTGGTTCCGACTCATAGTGACCCTGTAGGACAGAGTACAACTCCCCCATAGAGTTTCCAAGGAGCACCTGGTGGATTCGAACTGCCGACCTTTTGGTTAGCAGCCCTAGGGCTTAGCCGCTACGTCACCAGGATTTCCACTGTGTCAATAGGGAAGATAAAATTAATCCAGATATTTAGTCAGCATTTCCAATTTTTTTTCCTAGTTATGAATAAATAGCTCATGCTTATTGTAGAAATACAGAAAAATGTAGTAAGAATCAGTATATGTTCCTTTCTCTTTCTTTTTAAGATTTCTGTTGGCCTGTGGCTGGAACTGCCTTAATGAAAGCTTGCTTTCTTACTGTAGGGTGGACTAGTAGAAAGAGCGCTGGACTTTAGAAGACCAGCAGTCTGGTTCTGGCTCTGCTGTGTATTTAACTTTTTTATATTGGTCAAATCAATAATTACTAATGTCTATTTAACACTTTACAATGTTCACACAGATTTTCTTATTGACATTCAATAAGCTAGTGAGCTGGGGAGAGCAGGTATTGATCATCCTTATTTTACAGATGAGGAAATTGAGATGCTCTTAGGTGAAATGATTTCCCAAGGTTATATGGTAAAAAATGGCAGGACTTGTGACTCCAGATTCAGTGCTGTGCCACTATTCTGCCTTTAACTTTTAAAAAAAATATATTTAAAATGGTACTAATCATTCGTAAGGAGCCCTGGTGGTGCTAGGCTGCTAACCGAAAGGTAGGCGGTTCAAACCACCAGCAGCTCCATGGGAGAAAGACGTAGCAGTCTGTTTCTGTAAAGATTACAGCCTTGGAACCCTGTGGGGCAGTTCTACTCTGTCCTACAGGGTTGCTATCAGTCAGCATCAGCTGAGTGGCAGCAGGGTTAATCATTCTTAGCATTTCCTCATGGGTTTATGTGAAGATAAGGGGGGATGGTGTATATAAAAGCACTTTGAAAGTTACAAAATTTTATGTAAATGTAGTCAGTGGTGCCTTGTATAAGGTACTGTTGCTGCCCTGAAGAGTTTCACTTTATTTCATAAACTACCCAGGGGTATTGTTCTCCTTTGGGGAAACCACTGAGTAAGAGTGAATTGGATTGGTAGCAGTAGTCGATAAAGGGGTAAAAGAAGATTTTTCATACTGTGACTTTTTTTAAAGAGTTTTCATAGTGTGACTTTTAAGTCCATAGTGTGATTTTTTTAAATTCCCATTTTAACTAGGATCGTGATGCTGTCTTTGAAATTTTCCTTTGCTACTTTACTTTGACTTGCCTGTAGAATCTGGTAGAAATATCTTCCACTCCACCCAGTTTTGTTTCCCCAGAGTTTCTAGCCAAATTTTATAGAGACTTTTATAGTTTTTATGTTGTATATGTTTTTGTTTTACAAATGTTCAAGACCAGGAGAGAAAGACTGTAGGGATTGACTTTTAGGGCCACTTAATTGACCCCTGGAGGTAATAGGTTCTGCTCTGAGCCATCTGAGGAATGTTGATTGAGGTTACAGTGCTCTTGATCTGATAATGTGGTCTAGATTTGCTTTGGAGATTCTTGATTGCTTTTTAAGTCTGGGGGATATTGAGTGGAATCAGATGCAAATTCTGCTTACAACCTAATGTGTGAGAAGTTCCTACACAACTGGAATCCAAAACACTTGAAAAAAGGGCCTCAAGGGTGAGGGTTGAGTGGGTGGCTGTTTAATCTATGCCTGCTAATCATTTGGACTAAATATGGTGTTATTGGGGAGAGAGTGCTCGTTTATACTTGAAGATTGAGTAGGATGTTAAGGCTTTTTTATGAGTCAGTGTCAAACAGTTGTTATAGAGAGGGCAAAGTTTGTAGAAATGCCGAGAAATATAGATTTGTTGTTCTGTAGCTGGAACTGCCTTAATGAAAGCTTACTTTCCTTCTCTAGGGAGTCAAAGTTTGATACAAAAGATAATTTATTGAAGGAAATGTTTACTTAACTGGCATTCCATCTCCAATTACTGGTTTGGTTTTGAGGCAGCCCTAGAGAGACAGGATTCAGTGTTCACTAATTTAAGATTTTGATTCAAGTTAAGGGAGAGACTGGGACTTCTAGGTTCCATCAGATCTGGGTTGATCAAAGCCTAGCACCAGTTGAAATAGACTTCCTGGGATTATCCTGAAACTGAACTGACCTACCTCCAGGGGGTGGCAGGGGAAGAATCAAGCTAATGACCATTTGTTTCATCAAATTCTTTACCGTATCAGATTATCACTTAGTGGCTATTAGGCTGTCTCAAAACGCCTTGTGGCCCTTTGGGACAGGAGGTACAGTGTAAATGTGCCAGAGGAAAGGCAGGGCGTTTATACAGAAGCAGTTTTAACCAGTAATAAAATTTATCAAGTTCCTTTTAAATTCTAGTTTATAATTTTCTTAGAATCCCCACTTCCCATTTAATTTTACTCTCATTTGGGCAAATATAAAGCCTTCAGAATATAGCTAGCTGTGAGTCAATGGTTTAATAAGATTTTTTGAGAAGTAGTTGACAGGGCATATGTAAATTAAGCCTGGGATAATTACCTTCTAAAACGACTTTTAAAAGGAAAAATCAGAGGCATTTTCCATAGATTGTACTGAGGACATGGGAGTAATGGGCATTTACACAAATAATGATGGTTAATATGTATTGAGCTCCTCCTATGTACAAAGCACTATTCTAAGCACTTATTTGATCTCACTTAGTCCTCAACCCTATGAAGCAAGCACTGTTTTACAGATGAGGAAGCTGAGGCACACAGAGGTTAAGTACTCGAAACTTGTTTCATGTCACAAAGCTAAGGAAATAACAGCCAGGTTTCAAACTCAGCGGGCTATGTGCTTAACCAGTGTCCTGGGACATGGCTATATGCAAAGTCTGAAAACTATTCAATAGGAAGAACTAGTGAAAAATTACAAACTATTACCCCTTTTTTAAATCACATGGGATTTTTCTTATCTTTGCATATTGATTTGGACCCTTCTAGAAGTGTGGGAACAGGATTGAAGATGGGTGAATTAACAGGAATGAAGAACTGTATAACTCACACACTAATCTTTAATTAAATGATCAACAATATTTCTTTGATCTGCTGGTTTAATGTTGTTAGTATACATTGAGTTAGCTTTTGTTCTGGCTCCGGCATTCAGCAGACTTTTATTTTTCAAAGGAAAGGATTTTTTTAAAAAAAGCTTGCTAGCTTCTGTTTTGCATAGCTCTTGGCCACTTTGACACGTTTCATACCACTGTACTTACTAGGCGTTGTAATAGGATTGTGTTTGTTTTTTTTTTTAAAGGCTTGGCCCATGATAATAATCATATATTTTAGGACAAGAGTAAAGAAAGATACCTGGAACAAAACAGCAAGAGATTTAACAGGACCTAGATACTAGCATTAAGAATGTCTATCTTCTTCCTGCCCCTGTTCCCCCCACCCCCACACCCCCCTAAAAAAAGGCTGAAACAGACCACAGTATTTCCTAAATTAAAACAATGTGTTAAGTTTTCCTTTCTTGGTAAAGGCATGTGGTAAGTTCTAGGTTTTTTGTTTTGTTTTGGGTGGCTCTGGCAGAGAAGGCTGGCCCTGGGAACCACACAGTGATAACACTTCCGGTAGAGCTTTAGGAGGATGTGCATGAAATAGTCCTGGCAAATTTGGAGCTTCCTACTGTCTTAAGGATGGAAGAATAAAATGAGGCTCTGAACCAGATTAAAGGAATTTGGTAATGATTAACACCTGAATATCTACCTCTGATTTACAAATGAGCGTAGGCAAATTCCCCTTGACTCCTGAATCACTAGCCACATTGTATTATTTTAGAGTTGAGTATCTCTAGAACTGGGGAGTAGGAAAGAGAAGCCAATTTCTAGATTCCTGTAGGAGTTGGGGTCCAGGGTGAGATCATGCTGATATTAATTTCATAATCAACTTAGATGTGTGCTATATTGAAGAACTTTTTAGCAACTTGTGCTTTTTTAAAAACAAAGATTTTCATTTAACTGTGGGCCCTCTTTGCAATGTTAGCTAAGTAACTTGATTAATGGTTTTGACTATGTCAGGCTCCTTTAAGAACAACTGTTACTGGGACTGACAATACTTTTGATATGGGAGCTGCTATTTTTGAGTTATGAATGCAATTTAATCTTGTTCAGCTGAGTTTGTGTATTGGCCATTGAAATGTAGGTATCTTTGATGTGCAGCTTATGAATACAACTAGTTGAGGCTAGAAACCTGGTAAGTTTATTCCATCTGGCAAAACTTGAAACAACAGTTTTACCTAATTACCTGTCTGCACATTAGTTCTTGACTATTTGGAACAGAGCTAGAGTAAAATGCCATATTTCCTGGATTCTAAGACCTTTTTCCCTCACACTTTAATATTTCTGAAAAAATTATGTCTTATGACATTAAATGTATATGTCCATTGCATTTCCTCCCCCCACCCCCACCCCAATAAAACTATTATGAAAAACTGCTGTGTACCTTTGCATCGAGAAAATACGGTGGTTACGTTTCACTTAAAATTTGGAGTACGCATTTTATCTTATTTTTTTATGCGATTTTTTTTTTTAAACTGCAAGCTACTACTAAAACAAGGAGAAATTCCTATTAGACACCTCCCTCACACGCAGCCTTTGATGATTTTGGTTTTTCCATCAAGAGTTGTAAGACGGCCCCTGAAAGAGGCAGTCAGATACCCCTTAGGAAATGTTGAAGAACAAACCAGGAAAGAGGAGTATCTGTTATTCTCCTCTCCGACAGTTTCCACTGAATGGGGTCCAGTTACATGAGTGTTGCCGTTTCTGACTAACAGTCCCTGTGGGTATCTGACAATTTACCTGCTCCACTTCCCCCCGTTTTTTAAGTCTTGAAATTGGAAGCAACAGGTGATTTACTGTTGTTTGTGAATACTAAGCACTTCCCTCTGGAGATTGCTTCAGTATCGATGCAAGTTCTGTCTAGGGGTGTCATTAGGGATGCTAATGAAAGCCTTAAACAAAGACACTTTGCAGATGCTGGATTCTGTCATCCTGTAAGTGTGCTCTCTAGAGGACATATTCATCATGGTTGTGAAAGACTGTGGTTGGCTCTGCAACAGCCTGCAATAATTGCACCATCTAGATCAAGAAGGCCCAGTACCCCATGACTTAGAGACGAAAGCAACAGCTTTAGTAGATTCTGCAGCTTCTTGCTGTACCTACCCATCCCTAAAAACTAGCGAAAGTATCGAGGTGAGTAGGGATGTTGGTGAGAGAAGGAAGGAGGGGGTAACAATATTTTTACACAAATAACACGTGATCTACGTTTGTTTGCCAGTTGTACCCTCCCCCATAAAGTATTTTTGTAAGTGTGCTATACTAATTTTTTTACAGCAGCATGTAAAAAAATATTTGAGAAAGAAACCCAGCCAACATGATTGTTTCAGTTGTGGGAGAGCCTCAGGAAGCAAATAGTATTGATGTTTGTGGACTTGTGAGAGTGGTATCTCTCCACTGGCCCAGGATTCCTCAGGATATCGGCTTGGGAGTTGTAACTTTTATTGCCTAGATTAATTGTGCTGATCATTGGTCTAGGTGCTATTTGTGAGCAAGTAGGTGGTTTGTCTTTCAAACAGCTTACCTTTTGTGTTTGAATTCTCTTCCCCTATCCTTTCTTTGGTAAATTTGAAGTGGATTTGAGTCTAATAAGAATTTGGAGAGTTACTGTTTAGGGAAGATGAAAGCCTTTGATTAGATTTTTAGCTCTGTAGGTTGGGCATGTTTTTTGAGGATTGCATGTGAAATAGGGAGCAAAACTTGGGGTGAAGAGCCTGACTTTTTGGTATTGATGTAGTATAACCTAGATATGGTTCAGTTACAGAATACCCTTCTGTACCCTTTCTGATATATTGGGACAGTTGGCAAAATCTGAATAAGTTCTGTAGATCAGATAATAGTATTGCATCTGATTTTGATCACTGAGGTATTTAGGGATAAAGGCACATCAAGTCTGCACAGTTAGAAAAAAATAATATTTATAAGCTCTTCTGTATTGTATGTTGCTATGTATGGGGAGAAAGGATAAAGCAAAGTGGTAAAATATTAACATTTAGGAAATCTGGGTGAGGGGTATACAAGAATTTTTTGTGCTATTATAACTTTTCTGTGAGAAAGTTTCTAAAATTATGTCAAAAAGTAAAATACAACAGTAATCCTTTCTGCATGAATTCCATTTTCATAGAGATAGGAACTTGCTTCCTTTTTAAATCGTGAATTTCTTTCAGTTCAATTGTAAAATGCATTAGGTAGAAAGTTTCCACATGTGTATATTTAAAATGCAAGTCCTAGTGCCAGACTCAGCTTTTTTAGTTAGTGGTTTTTTTTAATCCTTGAGATTCTGTGCGTTTCCGGGAATTCTCTAGCTTCTTATAAAATTGCTTTATGTCCAGTGACTTGAGTCCTTTTAGATTGCTAATTGAGAATTTCTCTAAGGAACAAACTCTCTTTTAAAGGGGCAAACTACCTTCTGAAATAACCAGTGAAATGATAGTAACCAAATAGTTTAGGGGAGAAGAAGATGGATTCATTTCCTCTGCCCCTTTGAAGTGGTTGAGTATTATTGCAAGTGTATTCTAGGAGGAAATATGTAAAAATTGAATTGGTTACGTTAGGGCAGTGGGAATTTGGATATCTTTTTTCTTTTTTCCAAACTTGTATACTGTTACTGTTTTTTATAAAAAGGTTGTTTGTGTTACGTTGTATGTCCCAGTACCTTCCTGTTCTTGATTCTTCAGAGTGGAGGCTGTGTGCCACAGACGCTGGCACCATGAACATATTTGATCGGAAGATCAACTTAGATGCGCTTTTAAAATTTTCCCACATGTAAGTGTTTTGACCTTGACTACAGTTTCTTATTACATTTTCTTTCATACGTGGTTTCTTTTCCTAGTTTATTAACTTTTGTATGTATAAGCTAACAAATTAACTTTGCTAGACTCCAGAAGAGCTGATATAAGTACCCACATGCTAAGGGCTGCAGTGTGATCATTGGAAAGTCATTTGATTATTTTAGTTTGGATATTTATTGTTCATAATCTTAGGATTTGGCCCTTCCTCAGCAGTTAAGATTCTCTGTTAACCTGTTTTCAAAACGTTCTTTATTTTTTTTATTGTAATATAGTCTCTCCAAAGTATCTTAAACTCTTTGTAATATAATTTTCACATATTCCCTGGGAAGGGGAGGAGAGGGAAAAATAATTCTTAGCTTGGAGATGATATTGGTCCTGAGTGATGGTTGTTAACATTCTTTCCTAGAACCCCCTCAACACAGCAGCACCTGAAGAAGGTCTATGCCAGCTTTGCCCTCTGTATGTTTGTGGCGGCTGCGGGGGCCTATGTCCACGTAGTCACTCACTTCATTCAGGTAAGAGCAATTTTCTCTCCTGGTTGCTATGGTACAGATCATGTTAGGAAGAAACCCACTCAGCAAAGTACCTTAAGCCTGTGCCCTTGCTTAATCCTTATCAGTACTTTGGAACCTGAACTCAGCCAGCAGTTAAATCAGGACATATAAAGCCTTGTGAATTTTCTGGTATCTGTGCCCCCTCTAGATATTGAAAACAGAATGTCTTAACCCTGACACTGAATGGTGAGCTATTCTGTAAGACTTCACTGGAGTGGAGGCATGGCGTACATACTGGGGTTCTTCTGCACAGTAGCCTTTTGTGTTTTCCTCTATTCTTCCTCTTTTCTGACTGAAGTCTGAGTGACTGTGGGTACTTAGATACAAACCATTGGTTATATGGTTAATTATCAGTTAATATACACTGATATCTGCATAACTGGGTGAAGACCTTCAACAGCTCATTTTCCTGTATTGAGGGAGAGTTTGGGCTAGGACAGAAGGAGTAGGAGTAGAAGGGACAATTGGAGAATAACCAAAAAAATGTCTATCTTTTTTTTGTGTGTGTGTTTTAAATGATCGTTTCCACATAATCACAATTCCAGTTCTACAGACTGGAATATACTTCAAGCGCCTGTCACTTTGGTTTACTTCTCCCATGTCTTGGGAAAGACTCAAATACAGTTTGATGTGGGTAGTTAGGTCTTAGCAGTTGCACTGTGGTTGATGGCCTTCCTCCGGCCAGAAGAGCTTCCAGCATCCCCTTGGTCCTAACGCTGTCCTTTAAGGCATTTGACTTCTTTCCTTAGCCCCCACCCCTGAGAAAACACTGTCTTTTTCTACTGCCTCCAGGTTAGAAGCAAATATTAGGAAGTTAAGATGAGTATTTGAACCCAGTAAGGTCCTGCAGAATACATTTGAAGCTTTCAAGTATTTAATTATTGACTCTGGCTCTGACAGGCTGGTCTGCTTTCTGCCTTGGGCTCCCTGGGATTGATGATTTGGCTGATGGCAACACCTCATAGCCATGAAACTGAGCAAAAGAGACTGGGACTTCTTGCAGGATTTGCTTTCCTTACAGGTGTGTTGAAGGGTTGGTTTAATTTTGAATGGGGAAACTGTATTTTTAGTTATCTCTTTCTAAGGCCTGAGATTTGTATTTATTCTGATTTGCCCCAGCTGGCACACACCTAGTGTCTGCCTATTCCAATGATACAATTCCTTCAGAAGAGTTCTGTTCATAGAATCTTCTTTGATGCATCCTACTCCACTCTGGTTATCTTATCTCACCCTTCTGGTTTCCTCTAACACTGTCCTATCCATTCTTGAATTTGAATATATTTTGTCATGTGCTGCTTTCTTATTTCATATAGGCGCTGCTTGCTTCCCTGTCCAGAGGGTAAGCTCTTTATGACCAGGGACTGTTACTTCTACTTTTGTATCCAAAAACAGGCATCATGTGCTTGAATGACTGAGGTTCAAGAGCTTGGATAGCATAATTTGTTAATGGTAGACATGGGACTAAATTAAGCCTGAGAATTTGACTTAGCTTGGCCCATGCTGGCAACTATCACAGGAGCATCTGTTCTGAGCCTTGGAAACAATTAAAGATATGCATTGAAATCTCTTGTCCAGGACACTTTGCTGATTCTCAGGAAAGGAATTTGTAAAGCACAGCTCTTCAGAATTATTAAGGGAAAACAGGACTCATGCTGCATAATAAAGATAATTGCAAAGCAGCATTTGAGTTAACACAACTTGTTCTTAGTGACAGTCTAATCTATACAGTGTTGAAGAAATTATAGAAAGGAAAGGGATTTGGTGTTAAAGATTTTTGGATCAAAGAGGACTGGATTTTTAAGGCCTTTAAGGGGTGGAGTTATCAGAAAGAGGTGAGTAGCCAGAATGGAACTGGAGCAGGTTGTTCCCGTGCCCTGGAGTTGGCAGGTGCCCCCCACCAAACCAGTCTGGCCTTTTTTGCCACAAAGAGAATCAGTCCTGCATGCCTACGAGGTTGCTGGCCACAAGGCATTGCTTTGCTCTTCTTTTCTCCTAATCCCTTATCTGGCCCACATTACAGTTTCATGTCACCCCTCCTCGATGTTTTGCAGCCTTATAATTTAGCTTTAAAATATTTGAGATGCCTGTTTTTTGTTTTTTTTTGTTAAATATCTATTCCTTTTAGAGTCATCCATGATTTTCAGCTGAAAAGAGTTTTGCAGCTGTGTCTATAAATAAATAACTCAGGAGTATAAGGTCTCTTGAAAACAGTTGGAGGAAGGAAGAGTCCACGTTTTTTGTTTTTTTGGGTTTTTTTTAGGTGCATGGGCATACCTGTGCTATTAATGATCAACTTTTGGACAAGGGTTCTCTGCAAGAGTTGATGGTAATATTGTATTCTGGTATTTCGTTTTCTAGGAGTTGGCCTGGGCCCTGCCTTGGAGTTGTGCATTTCCATCAACCCCAGGTAAGTATTTTAGTAGCGTCTTAACATCTTTTAGAGCCCTAATGGCACAATGGTTAAGAGGTCAGGCTGCTAATCAAAAGATTGGCAGTTTGAATCCATTAGTTGCTCTTTGGAAACCCCATGGGGCAGTTCTGCTCTGCCCTATAGGTGTTGCTATGAGTCGGAATCGACTCCACAGCAAAGGGTTTGGTTTTGTTTTGTTTTGTTTTTATGAGCTTTTACCTTTATGAATATACCTTCTGCATACAGACTATAAACCTTAGCTCTCAATCCAGTGGTCTTTTTTCTTTAACAGCATCCTTCCCACTGCTTTCATGGGTACAGCAATGATCTTCACCTGCTTCACCCTGAGTGCACTGTACGCCAGACGTCGTAGCTACCTCTTCCTGGGAGGTAAGTATGGGCTGGAAAGCAGGGAGAGGGTTTCCCCTCTAGCCAAAATCCTCACTAGGACTCTGCTCTTATCCTCACAATTCCCTTGTGACTGTTGGGTTGAAATTGAAAGCCTTCAGTTTTCTTTTTGGAAAAATAAGGAATGGCCTTAATGGGACTGCTTTACTTTTCTTTGGCTTCTCTGAAGACAGCTTTTCGTCCTCTCTTACAGGTATCTTGATGTCAGCCATGAGCCTGATGGTCTTGTCCTCCCTGGGCAACCTTTTCTTTGGATCCATTTGGCTTTTCCAGGTGAGATTTTGCATGTAACTTTCCAGCAGCCATTTGCCTCACACTGCTTTTTCTTGCTTAACCCCAAAGCAGGCTACACTAAGAGTCCTCCAGGATGCTCATGTTTGTTGGGCAGTGCTCTTCAGGCTTCCCCACTAAGCCTCTTATGATGGAGCCCTCTGCTCGGAATGAAAGTGCAGACTGAGCAGTGGTTGGGTGTTGCTAAGTAAGGAGAAGACCATTTGTCTAAGGCCGGTCCAGCAGTGGCTCCTTATTAAAATGAGGGAAGCTCTTCCGGTAACCAAAAAATATGAGTGTAGAATTGTGTCTAGGGAAATAATGTGGTCTTCATCATAGGCTTCAATTCCCATTAATGTTAATGTCAGTAGGATTAGTATTTAATAAATTTTCAGGTAGCTGAGAACTAGAAGAAATTTTTTTTTTCTCTACAGTGTCTACCTTTTGGTAACCGCATCTCATTCTTCTTTAATTAGGCAAACCTGTATGTGGGGCTGGTGGTCATGTGTGGCTTTGTCCTTTTTGATACTCAACTTATTATTGAAAAGGCTGAAAATGGAGATAAGGATTATATCTGGTGAGTGTGAGAATTGGTCTTTAATGAGCATGAAGGATGAGGCATGCCATTCCACTCCACAGCTCTTTTCTGGATCCTTTTCCTGACCCATATTTCTGTCCACATCAGTAGGGATAAGAGTAGATCCAGGTGGCTCTGGCTGAACTTCGGTAGCCAAGCTTTAGGAATGTATATGGTAGGATACCCAGGGTTTTGGAACTATGCATCAAATATCATAGTTTCTCTTAATTCCTGAAAGAAATAGATTTTGGTTTTATTTTTTTAATTAGACTAATAGTATATATGTATACATACGTACTTTTAATAGTGGTTATCTCTAGGCAGGAAAGAGGCAAGGGAGTTTTTCACCTTTTACTGTTTATTTTCTCTTTGCTTTGAACCTTTAACAATGTATATATGTGTGTGTGTGTATATTATTTATATATACATAATAATCCTGTCCAAGTCTCATAACTAGTGGTAGATTCAAGGTTGAGACTTGGGCCTCTGCTGAGTCCAAAGCCTATGTTCTTTCCTCTATGCTACATGGCTTCATTGAGTTGAAAAGGATCTCAGACTCCAGAGTTTTACTTATTTGGTTGGTGGTGGAATGTTGGAGAGGCTGACTCTAGGAGATGGGGTGGGGTTTATGTTCTCCGCCTTTGTGGACTTTGAGATACAGGAGAACGGGAAGTCAGTTTCATAAACTGATTCTTTTCTTTCAGGCATTGTGTTGACCTCTTCCTGGATTTTGTTACTCTGTTCAGAAAACTCATGATGATCCTGGCTATGAATGAGAAGGTTAGTCAGCCTACCATCTGAAGATGAGAGAATGCTTCTGAGCTCAACGTCTGTGTTTACTTCAGATTTGAAAACTTGTTCATGCACTATGTAGGTCCAGGGCATCTGTAAGGCAGGACACTGAGTAAGAGGTAAACCAGAAGAAGCCTTCAGCTGATGGAGAAAAAGAAACAAGTAAAAGCAATCCACTTTTTTTTACTACTAATTCTGACATTAGTATCAAAGGGAAAAGAATGTCAAAAAACAATCTACTAGATGAAGAATTTAAAGGCTGTAAAGATAATACTATAGGATCCATAGTAGCACAACGGTTAAGCACTTGGCTGCTAACCAGAAGGTTGGCATTTTGAACCCACCCAGCGGTTCTGCAGGAGAAAGACCTGGTTATCTGCTCCCATAAAGATTATAGCCTAGAAAAACCCTATGAGGCAGTTCTGCTCTTGTCACACGGGGTTGTTATGTGTTGGAATCAATTCCACAGCATAGCAGCAACAAAGATAATTATGACTCAGAAAAAAATATTCCAGCTTTTGTAAATAAATTTCAGAAGTAGAGAAAGTTTATCCGTTTTTTAAATTCATTTTTTTCCAAAGAAGCATTCTGTATAGGGTTAGTGTCAAACATAGTATACCCAGCAGTAGGAGAAACAAATGAAGCCACCACAAGCTCTTCTTTACAGACCCCCTTAGGGAACAGTAGACAGTGTGGTGGTGTGGGCTTTGCAACATCTGGGACTGAGCACCAAGTAGGCACCTCAGTTTCAGTCAAAGCAAGTCAGCTTTCACCTGTTTACTGTATTGGGCTTTCACTGAAGATTGAATGAAGAGTTCCACTAAATTAAATTATTTCTGAATGTTGGTTTATGCCCACAATTCATGTTCCCACTTTCACGGTGGAGTACTTTCCTGGCCTAATGGAAAGTTGGTGGTCTTGGCCTCTTGTTTTGCTCTCTTAGAGTAGACTTCCAGTCTGCAGACTGTGGTTGGGATCTGAGCTGTGATAGTTGGAAGAATCCACGAATGGTCAGGCAGCCCATGTGGTACCAGGGGGAGGGATATGGTGCTGCTTAACTCTTATTCTCAGGTCTGCCTTACTAACAAGCAACTTTGGGAACACCAGGGAAAGAGTTAAGATTCACTTATTGCTGAGCTAAGGGAGCATTTCTCATTCCTTTTTATTGTACTGATTCCTTCCAGTCCCTAACCAAAGGCAGCTAGTTAATGGCTGACTCAAGAGTTTTAGCTTGAATGTCAGATGCCACAAATTTAATTGGGTGATTTTTCTCCATTCTAGGACAAGAAAAAAGAGAAGAAGTGAAATGGCCATCCAGCCTTTCTCAGTTTGATGACTTCTCCCACCGCCCCTCATTTCCTCTTTGCACACATTACAGGTGGCGTGTTCTGTGATAATGAAAAGCATCAGAAAAACTTTTGTACTTTGTGGTTTTCTCTATTTTGAATTTTTTGATCAAAAAACTGATTAGTAGAATATAGTTTGGAGTTTGGCTTCTATTCCTGGGGTTCTTCCCCACTCCCTTTTCTGTCAGCCCAGTCCCTAGCCTCTTCCCCTGTTCAGGCCATCAGTCCACCATGCTGAGGAGTGGGACTAGCAGAGGAAACAAACTCCAGGAGTCCACTTCCCAAACTACACCAGGTGGACCTGAACTGTTAAGTAGAGAACCACCTCAACATTGTTTGGTTTGTGCACAGTTCCAGTGGGGCTGGGCAGTGTGTTTTCCATTGGAAAGAAGTTTGCTGGTCCCGTTGTTACTCAGGCTCATTATTATCTGAGCTTCTGTCAACCCCTGAAAGAAAATGAAGAGCCTCTGTTTGTGGATGCTTTGCTTCCTCTGAGCTGCAGGCCGGGCAAATACCCTTTTACACGTTGCCATCACAAAAGGAATGCAGATTTGTGTGTGTTCCCTCCTACCCCCCCACCCCCCTTGCCTGATCCTTAGGGATTCTGCCTGCTTTCCATCCACGGGGTGGGAGGATTTCAGCACAAAGGGAAGGCTAATTCTTGTCAGGCATTTGTTAAATGGCTGGATAGGTATCGCAAGGTATAACATAGAATTCCCAAATTTCCCTTGGTCTTTATTTTTGTATTGGTTTTCACCTTAGTTATTGAGTGGCCTCTACCAGGTGACTGTGATCAAAAGTCCCAAGAGAGGAAGGATAGGCAGGGGAAAGGTTGAATCTCTGGGGCTAATTGTAACTAATCCTGCCAGGCAAACCTAGATGAGGACTTGTTTGGAGCAGAGGGGAACAAAATCTCCTCTACCAACTGCGTAGTTCTTTGTTCAGATCAACAGAATGGGGCTGTGATGACTTGGGAGGTGCCATTTGTAACAGTCCTCCGGTACGCTTTTGTCTGTCCCCCACCAGAGGATACATTAACAGATGGTGTCAGGCCAGAGATTTGAGGCAGTAGATAAACGTTCATTTTACCAGTGCACTTTAGTTTTTGGTCGGTTCACCTGTTTCCAGAAATCTGCAGCCTTCTTCCAGGCAGGTGCCAGGTAACCAAACCTGCAAGCGACCTGAATTCCTCCAGCTTTGTGGTTGCAAGTGTGGGTGGACAATACTATGGGAGCTCACCGGCTCCTCTGTGTGGTGTCACAGTCAGCTGGCACAGAAGGGCAGCATCAGGAACAGCTGTGGCTCTGGCTACTCCCAGGACTTCAGTGTAAGGGGGACTGAGCCATAAAGCTCATTGCCAGTAGGACACCATTTTTGGCTCTCCTTGTTCACGACCAGAGCCCTGGTGGCACAGTGATGAAGAGCTCGGCTGCTGACCAAAAGGTTAGCAGTTGGAATCCACCAGCTGCTCGTTGGAAACCCTATGGGAAGTTCTACTCTTGTCCTGTAGGGTCGCTATGGGTCGGACTTGACTTGATTGACAGCTGTGGGTTTGGTTTTGGTTTTTATTCACAACCAGTGCATAGTTTGACACAGTGGCTGTCTGTGCCATCCATCCCATGAAACTGTTCCCAGGCTGTGTTATTCTTGGAGTGGCCTGCTGCCCAGAATGGCTTGCTTCCACAGAGGATGCTGCCCTCTGGTTTAGCTGCTGCCTGCAGCCTCTGGCCTGAGAACTTTAACTGAAGAGACTTCCTTCCTATTACGCCCCCCGTTAGCAACTCCCCATAAATTAGGTGATTCTCTGCCAGGCCTGAGAATCTGCATTACATCTGAAGCCAGACTCCGCCTTTGTGCTTTTTTGCTTGGGATAAAGGAGTTTTTCTTTAGAAACAGTGCCAAGAATGACAAGATATAAAAAAAACTACTTTTAAGGAAAATGCTTAACAGGTTTTTAATACAGTAATCATTGTAATTATCACTTCTTTTCTAGTTCCTTGGTTTTCAGCTCAGGCTGCATTCTCTAACTCATACTGTGAAGAGAGAGGTTTTTGATTCAGAAATATATGAAATCTACATAGTCTTAATTTGTAAAAAATAAAGAAAATTCCTTAACCTTTTTTCTTGTTTGTGGTGTTAAATTCAAGGCACGAAAAGGTTTATACACAGAAAAGAACAATCCTTGATGGTTACGAGGGAGGGGCGGGGTGGTAAGGGGAAATCACTAACTAGGTAGTAGACAAATGTTAACTTTGGTGAAGGGAAAGACAACACAGTATAGGGGAAATCAGCACAACTTGACCAAGGCAAAGTCATAGAAGCTTCCTAGACACATCCAAACACCTTGAGGGACCGAGTTGCTGGGGCTGAGGGCTGGGGGACCGTAGTCGCCGGGCATCTCGGTCAATTAGCATAACAGTTTATAAAGAAAATGTTCTGCACCAAACTTCGGTGAGTAGCGTCTGGGGTCTTAAAAGCTTTGGAGTGGCAATCTAAGATAAATCTGTTGGTTGCATCCTGTCCAGAGCTAAGGAGAGTGAAACGAAAGGCAAGGAAAATAACTAGTTGAAAGAACTCATGGACCCAATGAACCACAGCCTCCACCAGCCTGAGCCCAGAACTAGATGGGGCCCTGCTAACACCACTGACAACTCTGCAGGGATCACAATAGAGGGTCCTGGAGAGAATGGGAGAAAAATGTAGAACAAAATTCAAATTCACAAAGACCAAACTTACTGGTCTGACAAGATTGGAAGTACCCCGGAATTCCATGGACACCCTGCTAACTCAGCTGAAGCCACTCCGTAAGTGCACCTTTCAGCCGAATATTAGGCCTATAAAACAATAACACGTGAGGAACATGCTTCTTAGTTCAAGTATATAGGACCAGATGGGCAACACCTGCCCAAAAGCAAAGACAAGAAAGAATGCGGGAAGGGACAGGAATACTGGACAAACGGACACAGGAAACCTGAGGTGTAAAGGGGAAGAGTGCTGACATGTTGCGGGGATTGCAACCAATGTCACAAAACCGTATAAATTTTTAAATGAGAAACGAATTTGTGCTGTAAACTTTTCCCCTAAACCACAAAAAAGAAAAAAATCCAAGGCATGGCTGGACATAGGCTTTGGGTCCTGTCTGGCTGGCTGGCAGGACCTGGGAGTGGGACAGAATTAAGTTTCTGCTCTAGGTGTGAATAGAAAGGAACAAGGACCTTCTGTTAGGCCTCCCACTCTGTAGCTCCAACTTGCCACAAATGTCAGGAATTTGTCAAGTACACAGCCCAGGTCTTTTCCAGTTACTTTCCCCTTCCCCACCTTTATTGTAGCTTGTTTGTGGTAGCATGTGCAATTGGTTCAATGGAAAGAAGACATCCATTCAGTCTGCATGTACTTGTGGTCTATGGTAGGGATCATCAGTGAATAAAACAAAAATCCTTGTCCTCATAGAGTATATAAGATTATAAAGCAGAGCTTGCATTACAATGTTGTTGCCTATGTCTAGTACTTTCACTGGCTAATTTTCTGAAGTAGATCATCAGGCTGTTCTTTCTCGTCTAACTTAGTCTGAAAGCCCTGCTGAAACACTGTAGATGATCCTGCTGGTATTAAGAGCAACACGCAGCACAGCAACACACAAGCCACCACAGTACAACAAACTGACAGGTGGTAGCGGCATTACAATAAGGTTATTCAATTTTGTGCATCTGTTTGCCCTCTGGTTGTCTTGTTCATTGTAGACAGACCTTCCTGTTAGGATTTGACTGTTGCTCCTAGTGATTCATCCAGATTACTCCCAGTTGAGTTGTTTAGACTCTACATATACCCATTCCAGCTTGGAAAGTGTTCCTTAAGCATCTTTTCTCTCTTGCTAGTATTGAAAAAAGGCCAATCTCAAAGACTCTTTAAAGCCCAGTTTTATCCTTGTACTGCCTTATATTCTTCGGGGAGGGAGAGGAAACAACATATTTTGAGCACTTACAATGTGTTGGGCACCGTGCAGAGGTGCTTTGCATGGATTGTTCATGTAATATTCCCAATAGCCTAAGAAGGTAGTGTCTTCACTAGGTATGGTCAGTAACTTCCAAGGCCACACCTGCAAGCAGTGGCAATCTGTGTCTGGAATCCAGGCCTGCTGTCTTGGAGCCCCTGCTCTTCACTGTTAGCCTCTGTAGGTAACACAGGTTAGCGTCTTTTGGTGTCACCCTTCCCATCCTGACCTACATCCTGGAAAGGGAAATGTGAGGTGGTTTGGGCAAAATCTCCCCACCTCTAATCTTTGAAGCCAGAGTAGAAGAGTGCTTTCTTCCTCCAGCTAGTCCACCAATTACAAATTACTAAACAAAAGGATAACACACAGTAACTCATTCCAGGCCTAGCCAACTTGCAGGCCTGAACTAGAATGAAGAGGGCACTGGCATGAGGCACAAACGGAAGGACATGTACCTTGGGAGAAGGAACCGCTTTTCTTCATATCTAAGCTTATTGAATAGATAGATCCACGCAATGTGCTCTGTGCTGGGAATAAAGATAAGATAGTTCCTGCTTTTTAGTCATTCACTGCTGAGCAGAGCAGAGAGCTACATGTAAACATTGAGTGCCTACACAGGAGTAAGCACAGGAAGCTGTGAGAACAGTGGGAGACAGCTCAGCGTGGTCATTCAGGGAAAGGAATTTGGAAATGATATCTGGGATAAGACTAAATCCTAAAGGATGAGTCAAAGTGAGATAAGTGACCAGGTTCATTTTAAGAAAGGCAGTGCTGGGAGTGGATCAGGTCAAGGGATTTTACATGAGAAAAGGCATGGGAGCAGGATCCAAGGAGCTGCAAAAAGAGTTTGCTGGGGTGCCAAGTTTAAGAAGGAGACTAGTAGGAAATGGGAGAGAGGGTAAGCAGGTGCCTAGTAACAGAGGACTTGGTACCTGGGTTAAGGAGCTGACTTTGTCCTGAAGGCAATAGAGAGCCTTGAGCAAGAGAACCTTGAACAATAGAGGAACTTCAGCAAGGGAGTGATCAGATAGGCATTTTTCATCTCTAGTGACTGGAGAATAGACTAGGGGGAGGGAGGCCCGTTAAAAGGCTATTATACTCTAATGCTCTGATTGGGGTTTCTATCATTTCCCACTGAAAGGAACAAGAGCTCTTTGGAGAAATGGCGATTAGAGGTCTATGGCAGGAAATGTACAAGATGTACCTGAAGCATAATGTGCTAGAAAGCAAAGCTATCAAAGATGACTAGTATCATTCAAAAGGACTCCAGAGCCCACCTAAAGAGGCTCTCAGTGGCCCAAGATGGGATAATTTGAGCATCAATGAGAATTATAATGGCAATGGATTGAAATAAAGTAAATATTTTTAGATCCATAAATTATTTTAAAAATATCTTATTGGTCACTGTCGTGAATTGAATTGTGTCCCCCAAAAATATCTGTCACCTTGGCTGGGTCATAATTCCCAGTATTGTATGATTGTGTACCATTTTGTAAATCCAATGTGATTTCCTTATGTGCTGTAAACTCTTATCACTATGAAGAGGTTATATGTGATTTCCTTATCTGTTGTAAACTCTGTCACTATGATGAGGTTATACTGATGAGGTTTAGATAGTGTCTTAATCCAATCTCTTTTGAGATATAAAAGAGAGAAGCGAGCAAAGCACATGGGAACCTCACACCACCAAGAAAGCAGTGCCAGGAGCAGAGCGCGTCCTTTGGACCTGAGGTTCCTGCGCAGAGAAGCTCCCACATGAAGGGAAGATTGATGACACAGACCTTCCTCCAGAGCCGACAGAGAAAACTTTCCCATGGAGCTGGTGCCCTGAATTTGGACTTGTAGCCTACAGGACTGTGAGAGAATAAACTTCTCTTTGTTAAAGCCATCCACTTGTGGTATTTCTGTTAAAGCAGCACTAGATGACTAAGACAGTCACCTTTGGAAGATGCTAGGAAACCAACTACTTCTGAATACTTGTTAACAAAAGGAAGGAAACAAGCATTTATCCTTTCTTTTTTTGTACTATACTTCAGGGCAAACAAAAAGTAACTGAAAGTTTCTCTCTATAGAAATATTCTAGCCAGTAAATGAAGGAATTACAGGGTTAGTTTATCACTATTTTGTAAACTTCTAATGAAATAACAAAGCTAGGCAATAATAATCAATAGCTACTAACACCATATTTTAAGAGACAACCTGATATATTGTGTGTCCGGATGAAAGTTAACAACACTACCAATGAAGTTTTTTTGCAAACAAAGAATTTGAATCTGAATCATTAAGTTCTGTAAAGTATCACATTACAGGAAAGACAAGGATCAGAGGAAGATGTGAAATGCATCATGGGAATGCAATGAACAAAATCCAGAAACTCTAAGAGCAAACAACCTGGTTTCTTCAACAACAAAGAGTGGTTAAAAAAAGAGAGAGAGAATGGAATGAGAGATTAAAAGAGATTTATGAGCCATATCAACAAATTCAATGTTGCGGGCCTTGTTTGGACACTGATTCAAATAAAGCGACTGTAAAAAAAAAGAGAGAGTCAGACAATTGGGGAAATTTGAACCTTGTAGTGGCCATTCTCCAGAATGGCCCCCCAAGGATCCTTGGCCCTGAATGTCACACCCTCATGTAGTTCCTTCCCACACTGAAGTAGGGCTGGCATATGTGACCAATAGAATTCTATAGAAGTGTGTGTGACTTCTGAGGCTAGGTCATAAAAGACACTGCAGCTTCCATCTTGGCTCCTTGGAACTCAGAGGGGAAACCAGTCACAGGTTCTGAAGGAACTCAAGCCGCCTTGTGGAGAGGTCCTCGTGAAGAGGATCTGAGCCCCCTGCCAATAGCCAGCACCAACTTGCCAAACATTGTGAATGAGCCACCTTGAAAGTGGACCCTCCAGTACCTGTAAGCTTTCAGGTGACTGCAATCTCGTGAGACATTGAGCCAAAACCACCTAGCTAGGCTGTTCCCAAATTCCTGACCCACAGAAACTGTAAGCAACAATGTTTATTGTTGTTTTAAACCACTCAGTTACACAGCAGTAGGTAACTAATATAAATACAGACTAGACAGTTGATCATACTAAAGAAATGTTGTTAATGAGTAAAGCTAATAATGCTATCA